ACTCAGGTCATGATCTCAGGGTCGTGAGATCCTTAAGATTCTCTCTCTTCCTCTCCCTCTACCCCTTTCCCCCCGCCCCATGCATGCTCTCTCTCTCAAAAAAAAAAAAAAAAAAAAAAAAATTGTATTTTTAAAGTATTGAGAAGACAAAGAAGTTTGGGTTTGGGGTAGTAAATTAGCAAAGAAGTAACAAGGTTTGTTTATACAGCCCTCTTGGCCTTGAATTCCTATCTTTGGGGCTAAGAATGTCTCCTTTCCTCCTGGTACAAGGGGTTACTTTTCATATGGGAAATTTCTTTCCCACTAACAGGGGGACAAAGAATAGTCAGTGTCCTTGTATTGGCTGTTTTTTATGTAACTTTAATTCAAAATAATCAGTATGCCCAAATGGCATATTTGGAAGCAGCCTACGCTGAACCCCCCACCACCTGCACTGAGTCAGCTTTGCAGAAAAGGAGCCAGATTCTGGAGAAATCGCTCAGGAAGAATCAATAGGAGGAGGAGCCAGCAAAACTTGCTGAAGCCGGCCTTCCTCCTTGCTTGGGGCGCGGGTGAGTCCTCAGGGTGGATCCTTTCTCCAGGCACTGACAGGTGGCTGTGTGGAAGACCAAGTCCTGGTCTGCAGAGAACTTTTCTTCCAGGTGAACGGCCTTCACTGGATGATATATATATTTTAAAGATTGTTGAGTTTGGGGGAGTCTAGCAGACCTGCAAGAACAAAAATTACTTTTCAGGAAAATAAAATAAAACAACGTATCCGCAATGTCCATTGTAGAGTCAGAAATTGCTAGACTTACAAAGAAACAGGAAAATAGCACCCATAGGGAAAGAATTCAGTTGGTAGAAACTGACCAGGAGATGGCTCAGGTATTAGATTTAAAATGCAAAGACATGTCAGCAGTTATGCTGATGAAGTTTAACGGCTTGATGGAAAATCTGGACTTTATGGTTGAAGAGATAAGGGAATCCCTTAAAAAGGATCTAAAGGAAATTTTAGGAGTAGAAAGTAAAATACCTGAAGTGAAAAATATAAACAACTCCAGTACCAAAAAGGAGTGGCCACAAATAAAAGGTTTAGCCACACAAAAAACAGGGTTGGTAGAGAAAATAGAAGGAGCAAACTCTGAAATAGTTGAAGATACTGAAAATTTGACCTTTAAAAGAAAAGAAGTAAGTGAGCTGAGTAGCAAATTAGATAAAGCTGAAGAAGTACAGTAGGAACTAAGGTAAGGAATTGTCCCGTGATGAATCAAAAAATGACAAAGTCATGGAAAGTGTGGAAGAAGCCATAAGCAATATAGACAATACTTGGGGAGATCGTAGTATCCATACAGAAGTAACACGAGAGAACCAAGAGATTGGAGAGGATGAGCTGGTCAGAGAAAAAAGAGAGGAAAAAATCCCTTAGAATTTAAAGAATAAAGAGAAAATTCTAAAAACCTCCAGAGAAGATGAAGGAGCAGTACTTACATTGGTGGCAGACTTTTCATCAGCAACACTGAACATTAGTAAGCAATGGAGTAACGTCTTCAACATTCTGAGGGAAAATGATTTTGAACCTAAATTCTATGCCAGGTTACATTAACATTTAAGTGTGATGGTGAAGTAAGGACCTTTTCAGATATGCAAAGTCTCAGCAATTTTATTAGCCAAAAACCATTTATGAACGAATTACTGAAAGATGTACTCCCACAAAAGGAAAAAATAAAGAAAGGAAGAAGGTACGGGATTCAAGAAAAAGTGGAAAAAACTCTACTAGATTTGAAGCATGGAGCTGAGGGGGAAGCCAGTGATGGCTTGAGCTTCCTATTTGTTAAAGAAGTAAAGGTTGCTGAGCCAGAGGAGGTGAAGAACTTAGAGATTCAGGAAAAAGAGTCTTCAGAGCTGGAAGAAGAGGCTTCAGGGCTGGAGGAGGAGGGAGAAGAAGAGGCTTCAGTATTACGTGAGAAACAGGATTCAACCTTTCAGCGTCATTCTGAGATAAATACACAATGTGGAGTTGAAGAAAAAAATAATGGTTTGGAGATTGTTTTAATTAAAGGGGTAGAAGATTCTGAGCCAGAGGAAGAAAAAGGTTCAGAGTGGGAAATGGAAGTAGTTTTATCATGGGAGGAAGGAGAGGACTCTGAGGTAGAAAATGTAAAGACTGCCTCCCAGAATGAGAAAAAAGAGGCCTCAGATGGACTCAAAGAAATGGCCTATGATTATTTGGCTCAGGACTTTGAGAAGAAAAAATTGGTGAAACACCAGATGGTACAAAAAACCCAGAATAAAAAGGAAACAGCTATGCCCAGAAACCAAGGAGTTGGGACAGTGTGTCTGACCTTGCGTTTGGCCTCTCCCTCAAAATCACTAAAGATAAGTTCTGATAAGCAGAAAAGGCATTTAAATACAAATTCGAGTACTCCATCAGGAATGACCAAATTTTTAAGGAAAGCTGACAAAGAGCGACACAAAACTCTGCTAACAGATGAGCGAACATCTAAAGAAACAGACTTAATACAAGAAACTGAAGAAAACTTTAGAAGAAATGTAATTAACAACTTTAGAGAGCTACAAGAGGAGGTTGCAAATCTTAAAAATTACCTTCCAGAGGTCTTGGGAATAAAAAACTCAATAGATGTTCTGAATAGCAGAATAGACGCACTTGAAGAGAGAATGGACAATCTAGAAGACCGAATTGAAGAATTCTCTAAGGATACAATGCAAATGGCCAAACAGATAATAAATAAAGAAAGGTCAAGAGACATAGAGGATAGATCCAGAAGTTCCAACATCCGTTTGATAGGAATTCCAGAAAAAGATAATAAAGAGAATGGAGCAGAGGAAATAATTAAGGAAATCATTGAAGAAAACTTTCCAGAGCTAAAGGATTCAAGTCTTGACGTTGTCAGTGCTTACCGAATACCTAGTAAGATTGATGAGAAGAGACTCACTCCTAGACACATCTTGGTGAAATTTGGGAATTCCAGTGATAAAGAAAAAATCTTAAAGGCTTCCAGAAAAAGAGAAATAACCTACAGAGGAACAAGAATCAGATTGACCGCAGACTTATCATTAGATACTCTAGATGCTAGAAGTCAGTGGAGCAATGTCATAAAAGTTCTGCAGGCAAAAGGCTTTACACCTAGAATCCTATACCCAGCCAAATTGGCATTTGATTTTGAAGGTAAAACAGACATTTTTTGATACCGAAGAATTCACGAAGTTTGTTTCTTGCATACCCTCTTTGAAAGAATTACTGGAGGATATACTTTAGCAATCTAGGATAACTATAAACACATACACACAACATATATTACCTTCTTCCCACAGCAAGAGTCAAAAAGGAAAACGAAATTAAAATGCCACGTTTCTACCCAGGAGGATGGACTATGAACAGTGTACTTGGGGAGTAGGAGAAAGGAAGGTTACAGATACTACTTAGATGTTGGTGAAGTTAAAGGGTGTGTTAAAATTAGTGTTAATCATTGTAGTTTGTGCAAGAGTAGGTTTTTAAACTAATGGGGAGAGGGAGGGAATCTGTCAATGTAACCACAGGGAGAGGTGGGGTGAAAGTAATAGAAAAACAGGAAGAAAGATGGCAGGATAAGTTAAATAGGGAAAATATGCAAAAGTTGAACTTTTGTCACAAGAAGGTACTCAATTTTAGATCATTTATCATGATGTGAATCTTGAATCTTTATATTAAACCTTTTTCCTTTAAAAAAAAAGAATCAATAGGAGTTTGTGACTGGATAGCTGTAGGGAATGAGGAAGAGGGAAGGTCCAAGATAGCCTCCTGGCCGTTGGGCAAGGAGGTAGCTGCCAACATACGGTAGCCAGTCATTCCAGGGGAGGAGATTACTCCAGGGGGTGGACTTCCCTGAGGGTGTAGAGAATAGGAACAGACACACCTAGAGCTCCAACGAAAGGGCCCTAATTCTGCTTTGCCTCCTGTTAAAACACAAAATTCAGCTAGGTAAACTTAAAGATCTAATAGACTTGATTCAGCAATTCAGGAATCAAGGAGCATCCCATCTAGCAAATAGAAGGGAGGTCTGAGGAGCCGTACCAAGTGGAAGGTTTTTGTGTTTTTTTTTAAGATTTTTATTTATTTGTTTGACAGAGAGAGAGAGAAAGCAGAGGGAGGGGCAGAGGGAGATGCAGACTCCCCTGCTGAGCAGGGAGCCTGACGCGGGGCTCAATCCCAGGACCCTGGGATCGTGACCCCAGCCGAAGGCAGACACTTAACCCACTGAGCCACCCAGGCACCCCAAATGGAAGGTTTTTAAAAGCAGAAAGGGGGGGGGCGCCTGGGTGGCTCAGTGGGTTAAGTGTCTGCCTTCGGTTGAGGTCATGATCTCAGGGTCCTGGGATCGAGCCCCACACTGGGCTCCCTGCTCAGCGGGGACCCTGCTTCTCCTTCTGCCCCTCCTCCTGCTCATGATCTCTCTCAAATAGATAAATAAAATCTTAAAAAATAAATAAATAAAGGCAGAAAATGGGTGGGAGAGGGAAGTCATAAAAGAAAGGAGTATTTCAGACAAGGTAAAGGGCAGGGGTCAGTCACACAAATTACCTCACTAGTGCTGGTGGCGTCAACCCAGATTGACTGGGTAAAGGTCACATTCCCGGGAGGGGCTAAAACTAAAATTAGGTCTTGGTTTGCTGTCTTGGAGGGGCAGGTGGCTCCATTTTGGGCCCGTTGTGCCGCTTTCACCCTCCTGGTAATGGAAGTGGCTCTGTGGGAGGCGGCTGGGTACTCAAGGGAACGTCCCGGTCTGTGTGCCGTTGTTCAGGAAACCAGGCTATAGAAAAGGAGGTTGTAGTGTGGATTTTAATTGCATAGTTGGATTTCTGAAAATGAGACCTAACACTGTTAGACCCCAGTACCCTTCATTCTAGAACAGCCTCACTTAAGCACATTTGGGGTGTAGGGAACATTGTGTCACTTTTCTCTGAAAAGATTTCATGTCTGTCTTTCATATCCCAGGCTCCCCGTGTTCTCCTCCGGCAAGATGGTAGTGGCAGGGGGAGGCAGTGCTATTCAGGCTGGCCTGGGGACTCAGGTTTGGTCCTGAAATCCAAGTACCCTGGCTGCTAAGAGCTGTCTGCCCCCAGGTGTGGAAGGCAGGAGCGGGCTGAGGGCCAAGGGAATGAGCAGGCTATGTGCCTGGAAACCTGAGAACTAATTTTAGGTTTAACAGCCACCTTGGAGAATGTACCTTTCAGAAGCTGCAAAGCTGAAATTGTATGAAGATGGTAGGGTTTAGATCATCCTTGAGACAAACAACCTGCTAGATTTGGATTAACTGGCTGGATTGTTTTTATTAATGTTTCTCACAGAAATCAGTATGAATCAGACAGATGCAGGAATGGCGTATAGTAGCAGTGTGACAAAGAGCAGGACATGCATTTCTGGGCTGAACTGCCATTCCCCACCCCCCACCCCCAACCACACTGAAACCGGATCAGCTCATTTGCTGGGATGACAAAGGGACATGCGAAAGCTTTTCTAATTTAGCAAGATGGGAGAACAGACACTTCACCACCCTTGGCTCTGTTAGAACTGTCAGTCAGTTTTTGTGTTTGTGATCTTACTGGTTCACTTCAGTTCTTCAGCCTTTGGATGGCTCAGGATGGGTTCATTTGCATTGCTCTTCTGCTACTTTGCATCTTTTTGGGATCCAAGCTATTCCATTTGGAGCTCACTATGGGGGAACTGAGTCCACAAAAGGTTTATGTGCAACTCAACAGATTGTCACACTCAATAACAATGTGGAGAAAGAACAAGAACAAACGTTGAAGTAATGTTTGGTTTCCTGAGTGAGTGAGTGTGTGTGTGTGTGTGTGTTTGCGCACGCACTTGTGCACGCACCGTGAGGGAGGCATGTTTAGTGGAAAAATTACCACAGGAAAAGTGTCCAGGAGTGGCTTTTTCTCTGTTGATTATACTTTTAGTGACGTTGCTAGTAACCAGGATTTGCATATTTCTATTGCATAGAATAAAAGAACGAGTGAGTATCTGGAAATCTCTTCTGTTTCTGTACCCTTGTAACCACAGTAACAAGACTTCTTGGGGTTTTTTAAGAAAGCAAATTATGAGTGAATTGTTAAAAAATATTGCAGGTGGAGTAGAAAAGACTGTCACGGTGTAATACAGTTTTCAGTGTGCAAATGAATATGTCCTTAGATGTCCTTTTGTACAAAACCCATTAAGCCTAAATCTCTAGGGTCACCCTAGCCCTGAAGTTACTGGTTCTTGACCTCGCAGGAGAGGCTTGACTGATACCAGCTCAGTATCAGGGGAGGAGAGCCCTCTCGTGGAAAGTCATCAGGGCCAACTAGTGCAGCGGGAAAGGAAGCCAAGAAGTCAAAGAAGGAATGTTAAATTTAGTCCAGTAAAATAAACTGCAGCATGTACACGTGATGTGACTCGCCGTATCCTCCTGCTGATTTGGAAGATGTTTATCTACACATCTGTGATGTGGAATCATCAAGAACCTATTGAGGCCTGTGCTAAGTAGGTACTCAAATTAAAATAATTATTCCAAGGACATATAACCTTCTTCATAGCCGTCACCTAAAAAAGCTTGGGATGGGCAAGTTTGGGGAGTAGGGGATACATTTCGGTAATAAACAGTCAAGTTTAAATTAGATGAGATGACCCACTCCCACCCCAGGATTATTAGCTATAAGGTTTGTTCATGGGTCAAGCTGCTTCTTTAAGCAGAAGAATGCACCGTTCTAACCTTTGCCTTCCCCAAGGCTATCACCTGAGTTGGACCATGACTACCATCATAATTCAGTGTGTTATTTATCTTGTAAATAGGAAGAAAGCTACAAAGCACTCTGTCCCTCTAATCCCTGACCATAGTACATGTCTGATATTGTAATGCTAGATTTTTGCAAAAATGTTCATACCCTCTTGACTAGAGTCATGATATTTCTGTTGGCTCTTTATTCTTGTCATTAACTACTTATAAATAAAATGAGAGACTTTAAAGATCTTAAAACTTTGCAGTTTAAAATTATTTATTGATATTAATTGTTTAGATAGAGAGACTTTTTAAAAGCATGTTGTATGAGAAATTCCCTGTTGTACATGTGCATTAATAATGCATTCTAGGGCGCCTGGGTGGCTCAGTTGGTTAAGCGACTGCCTTCGGCTCAGGTCATGATCCTGGAGTCCCGGGATCGAGTCCCACATCGGGCTCCCTGCTCAGCAGGGAGTCTGCTTCTCCCTCTGACCCTCTTCCCTCTTGTGCTCTCTATCTCTCATTCTTTCTCTCTCAAATAAATAAATAAAATCTTTAAAAAAAAATAATGCATTCTAAAAACCATGTAATCATTAGGGTTGGGGCCCTTTGCTTATTGCTCTATTATTGACCATGATCCATGAGCCCCCCTCAAGGGTTCAAAAAGCTTGTTTCCAGGCAACAAGAAGCATATGCCCTTCAAAGCCTGCGGAAGATGCCTCACCAGTGCAGTAGACTCAGCCAGTAGAAATGCACTCTCAGCACATTTTAGCTAAAACCGCAATTGCCCTTGTTTCTAGCCTGTGACACTGGAGAGTCTCTGACTATATAGTCGACAAAGCTGAATTGTCCTTTTCTGAACAGAAAATGGCTAGAGCAAGGATTTGTAAATCTTATCTATACTTCGAGGACCGTCTTAAAGTCTCATATCTTCCTTGTGGCCCGACAAATATGGCCATTTCTGAACTCTTGGTGGCTTTCCTCTCTGAAGGACTTACGTCATGTGCTGCATTATGTAGTGGCTTAATTCCATGCACGTGTGTCCCGTCTCTCTGGCACGCACACATGCCCTTGAAGGCAAGCCCAGCGTATTCTGTATATCCGGGGTCTAGTTCACTCACTCATTCATTCGTTTGGTAGTCACTGCAGATATGCCTATCTGCAGACAGGTCCTGTTACTCTCTCTAGAAATGCATTTGTGGGGCGCCTCGGTGGCTCAGTCGTTAAGCGTCTGCCTTCGGCTCAGGTCATGATCCCGGGGTCCTGGGATCGAGCCCTGCGTCGGGGTCCCTGCTCAGCGGGAAGCCTGCTTCTCCCTCTCCCACTGCCCCTGCTTGTGTTCCCTCTCTCACTGTGTCTCTCTCTGTCAAATAAATAAATAAAATCTTAAAAAAAAAAAAAAAGAAATGCATTTGTGAACAAAACGAATAAGATCTTTTTCCTGGTACAGTCCTGTGGGGTGGGGAACCTTAAACTCGTAACCACGAATTGCCATTTTCCACAAGGAAAGATAAATTTATACAAGGTGATAGGAATTGCAGAGGAACAAGGAAGATGGTACCTGAAGAGAGAACACTGGGGGGCCTTACTTAGACTGGAGGGTTAGAAAAAGCCTATGAAGTCGTGATATTTCAGCTGAAAACTAAAGACACATGGTACCTCCTATAGAGCAGGTGCTAAGAAGTATTTCTGGCTTTGAGAACTATTTAACCAGGTCTCCATGCACATGGTATAAACCTTCTGTGTTTCCTCCTGGTTGTGTCTCCCAGTGCAATCCTACCCCTCCCCTTATTTGCTGCCAACCTGCATCCGTTCTGTCTGGCGCTCCCTGGTTCTGCGATCCCATGGACACCCCTACCATGTCAGCCCAAGCTACAGTGAAAATGTTTAAAAACAAAATTCAGCTGAGTAAATTTTAAATATCTGATTTTATTCAGTGATTTATGAAATCGGGCAGCAGCCCATCTAACAGAGAAAAGAGATAGAAAGCCCATCTAACAGATAGAAGAGAGCCTCAAGGAGCTGTACAAATTGAAAGACTTTTATAGGCAGAAGGGAGTGGGACACAAGGAAGTTGTACTAGCAAAAAGTAGATTATGATATCATATGTGGTTATAATCAAATCCCTCTTGTTCCCTTACAGGTAGGTACAGACGCTTCCAGCTTGAGAAAGGCAGACCCCAAAAGTCGGAGTGCACTGTTGGCTGATATCCAGCAAGGAACTCGCCTACGGAAAGTCACGCAGATCAATGACCGCAGTGCCCCACAGATTGAGAGTAAGTGAGCAGCTGGGCCGGGCCTGCCGTGAGTCAGGGGCAGGCCATGTGGGGCTCAGCTAGGCACCGCTGGCTTGCTCAGGGCAGGGGCAACACTTGTTACCCAGGATGCACTTTGGGCCTTCGCGGACTTGCACGATGTATGGCCATGTGAGTGAGAGAGTCAGAGCTCCTTTCCAGGTGTACAGATGGTTTAGAGCATATCTTCTACCACTGTTCGAATGCTAAACAAACAAACAAGCAAAAACATGGTGGGATACCTTTTTTTTTTAATTGTGATAAAATACACATCACATTCACCATTTTAGCCATTTAAAGTGTCCATTTCAGTGGCATTTGTACATTCACAATGTGGTTGCAACCATCACTTCGGTCTAGTTTCAGAACATTTTCGTCACAGAAGGAGACCCCACGCCCATTACATGTCACTCCCCATTCCGCCCCTCCCCCAGTCCCTGGCAGCTGGTCTCTGTGGGTTTGCCTCTTGGGGATATACATGTGAACGGAATCATACAGTATGTGGCCTTTTGTGACTGGCTCCTTCACTTAGCATGTTTTCAGAGTTCGTTCATGCCGTAGCGTGTGCCAGGTCTTTACTCCTTATTGCTGACTACTGTTCTGTCATCTGGCTACTCCACTCTGTGTGCATCCACGGTGAGATACCCTCTAAAGATCGCTTACCCTGCATCCACCTAGTTCTTAGAGAGAGAAAAATTAAAGTCTCAACATTAAAGTATGCCAAATTTTTGTGTTCGCAAGGAAAAAAGATGTATTCAGAATTCTCTCATAGAATCCCATGACTGCGCTTTCTATGTACAGAGTAAGAGGGGCCCTGTGCTTGGGTCACATGACCCAGGCTGAGTCCCGAATCTGCTACCAGGTGCAGCTGGGGATTTCTCTGAGATTCAGTCCGCTCATCCACAAAATGGGGGAGGTAGTAATATCTGCTTTTTTTTTTTTTTGGTCAAGATTGCTGAAGGTTGAAATAATCTATGCAGAACTATTAATCAGTGTCATCTCTTACTATGTCTTCATATAGTTTTCAATGATGCACATGATGGTAATTCTCAGAGATAGTCCTAAAAATATAATTGTATCTAGTATCTGTAATTATATATTTTAGTATACAGGGATAGATAGATCATTTTAAGAAATATTTTCAACAATTGCAATAAAAATTCATTTCCAGTTAGACCCACTAATTGGTTAAGCCCAATTACCAGATAAACCCATTTGATGGGAATACTCACTCCCTAATCATTCCAGTGGATAGGTAATATATATTAATACTCGGAATAATCTAAATGCATTCATCCGCCAGTGGGCACTGTGCCCTGATTCCTCTGTGCAAGTTAGCTTCAGGCTGTGAACATTTCTTGCTAGAAATTCTTGTCTAAGCCAAATGTCTTCTCATTGAATGGAGTTGGTCATCACACCCACCTGGAAGGCCAGAATTAGTGACACCTCTCCCCCCAGGGTTTCACAAGCTTTCTCTTCTGTAGAAGGAAAGATGCAGGGAAGGGTGCGGGGTGTAGGGAGTAAATGCTGGGGAGACTGAGAAGGAAAATGCCAAAGCACCAATCATTGCAGACCTTCACTTCCTGCTTGCAGTCCTGGGCCAGACTCTGTGGACAAGAAGTTACAATTACTGACTAAACTAAATCTGTGTGTTTTCTCTGTCTGGGCCTCCCACAGCAACAGTCGAGTTGAAAATAGGGCCAACACTCCACCTACAACGTTTGGGTGTTCTCATTTGAAAGGTGCTGCCAGTTCCCCCCACAGGCATCTGGGGAATGGCAGCATTTAGGTCCCTTTGTTTGGGTCACTTTTCAGGGTGCTCAGCTACCGATGGTCTTCGGTTCCTAGGTAGGTCCACAGAGAGTAGCAGACAGGCGTGAGCACATGAGTCTGCTGGGTAACCAGGCAGAGGGGTTTGGGAAAGATGCCCACTGGAAGGGTAAGGCTGGAAGTGGGAGGACGGGAAGGCTGCCTCAGGCGCTGTTGGATCACTGCCCCGGGCTTTGAATGGGCTGCTCAGCTCTGCTCACAAGTCCTCATTTACTTGCCTCTTCTCTGCAAAGGTTCTAAAGGAATCAACAAAGAAGGAGGAGGGTCTGCAAACTCTCGAGGCGGAAGCACACCCCCAAGCCTGGGAGACCTGTTTGCTGGTGGCTTTCCTGTGTTGAGACCAGCCGGCCAGAGGGATGTGGCAGGTAAGGGAGAATTCAGACTGGCTACCTCGTGATCATTCGCTCCTTCATGTGTCGAACCAACTGGGCAATGCTTGTGAGCCATGAGGACTGTGACACGTTTTTAGTGAAAAGTTGTACGGCAGGAGATTGCGGATTTGGGCGCATGCCCTGGAAGTATCCATAAATCATCGTCCTGTTTAAATCATCCCATGGTAATAATTGAAGAATGACTTGCCACAGTGTGTAGTGTTTAGCAGTGGTGTGATTGGGGCCCAGACTGCAGAGTACAGACAAAAGGTATAAAGCACTTTAGAAAAATCTTAGTGATGTCACCGTAATGCATCAGTCATTGTTATCAGTTGGGTATTGTTATCAGTAGGGTATTTCGTTATTATACATAACAAAATACCCTAAAACTTAGGGACCTTAAACGACCATGTATCTAGCTTACAGTTCTGTGGTTGGCAATTTAGGGTGGTCTCAGCTAGGCTCCCTCTGGTACATACAGCTTGGTCAGATGGCTTTTGCTAATCTTATATTTCTTATATCTTTGGTGCCTCAGCGGAGATGACTGGCCTGACACATCCTTATGGTCTCTCAGTGTCTAGCAGACTAATTGGGATTGTTTTTCCTGTTGGTGGCAGGATTCCAACAAAGAGGACAGAAGTATATAAAGTCTCTTAAGGCTTAGTCTTGGAGTTGGCACAGTATTACTTCCTACCGCATCCTCTTGTCCAAGTCACATGACCAGCCCAGAAACAAGGGTGGGAAAAGACACTTCATTTCTCCATGGGAGGATTGGCAAAATCACATTTCAAAGATAACGGAATCAGGAGTGAGTGGATACTCGAGGTCATTTCTTCAGCCAGTCTACTGTAGTCATTGTGTGTTAGTGGGTATCAGATATTTTGAAAGTATCGTATTAAAATTGGGCAAATATATATTAATTATGTGTAATAGAACTGTTTTTCCTATTATTGTTTTCTTTAGCCAGCAAGTTGAAATAAACTCCGAGAATTGCATTAATCAGGGAATATCGAGCCCCAAACATTGCTGGTATACAATCTTCTGCCATGGGGTTTGCTAACCTTTTCAATGGGCTCTGTGGCTGTTTGACATAATGGGGGGCATTTGCCGCTGTAGCCTACTGATAAAGTCCAGCAAAGATAAGAGCTCTAGGATGCTTTGAGATCCAATCTGAACCTTCTCAGAGGCCACTGCTTTTCCTCTTTTTTTGCTAAGGGTTTAGCAAAGAGTATTGGCATTTCCCAGTGCTGCCTTCTTTTTCAAAATTCCTGAGTGGTATCAAATAAACATCCTGTGTGATATAAAATGTCCACTAGTTTCTTTTCACAGAAGTACAGACGCATAGTAGGTGCTCAGTAAATATTTGTTAAATGGAATGCGGGAGTGGGTAGCATGGTTGCTTAGAGCCACTAGGCCCAGAAAGCACAGGCTAGTGCTCACAGTACTTTTGGCAGTCCATGAAAATGTTTGGATATCTTTTTAAATCAGAAAATAAAACATGAAAGTTTAGAGTCAAAGATTATATTTGTCTTTATAGCAATGCAGCCATAAAATGTCTTCAAAAGTCATAATGTGGTCCTGGCTTAGCATTCTGAAGGAGTGACCATTTGTGTTTCTCCTTGGATTTCTGGAGTTAGCATTTATGTTATGAAGGAAAGCCTCCTCCTCCCTCCCCTTGGCACTTTCTTCCCTTGGCTCTGTCTGCTGGTTTGGCAGCTCTCTGCCACGTCCTGGAGCGGGCGTGAGTGTAAGCCAAATGAGGACTTGTGCCTACCTTGCCTCTGCTGTTCACGTCACAGTAAAAATAGGTTTGCCCACTTCTCATTTGCTTGGCTGCTTAGTAAACAGAAGCTTCTGCACTTTTAACTGACTCATTCTAAGAGTTTTTGAGTCTTGGGCACATGGTGTGTCCTCAGTCACTTCAAAAGTCTGCATTGGTTAATCAGGGGCTGATTCTGCTCCTCAAACTTGGTAGCCCTTTAAAGTTCATGGAGCGAGTAGGCATATAGGGAGGCCTTGCCTTGTTAGGGACTGCCTTGGTCCTCCATCTTCATCTCTGTGGACTATGGAAACAGGCTTGGAGGCAGGAATCTCTGAGCCTGATACCTACCCTAAACCTCACATAAAATGTCTAACGTTAGAGCTGTGGGTGGTAGGTAGGTCCTGTCCTTGGAAAGGCCAGGTGGGGGGCCTTCCCTCCTGGTCACGGTCAGCCAGCTGACCCCAAGGGGAATCAAATCAGACAGGGTGGAAGACATTGTCTCTTCTGGAACGGCCCCAAAGAAAACCCTCAACAGAGGAATGGTGACATCACCACCCTGCCCCAAGAGCAGCCATTCCGTAGCTGAGACTTGCAATGAGTAGTGCTGCCCAGGTAACTGTCACCTCATAGCCAGATGAGAGGCATCCCTGGGGAAGGCCAGATGCTGCCATCCTGCCCACTGAGTTTCAGCCCCAGTGTCACCTCCGCCACACCTCGCTTTGATTGGCCTGGCTTTCGGCATCAAGTCCTCTGGGGTATGATCTTGCACCTGGTTGGGTGAACACAACTGTGGAGACTGTTCTGAGCTGAAAAGCTCAGAACCGCCACGAGAGGCTGGGGTTTATAATCCGATTTGAAAGCTGTGTTTTTTATTCTGCAACACCTGGGAAGCTGTAGGTAGGAGAAGCAACCATCTTTTCACGTGTTCTCCACATGTTTTCAGAGGGGTAATGAAATATAAGGGTGGGAGAACAGGAAAAGACGGATTCCCCGGAATTCCATTCGGGAGGGCACTGTATTTGTTTGGAAAGGGTATTTTAGCATGCCTCCTGGGTGGACAGTGATGCTCCAAGGACACATATAAGCAGTGATTGCAGAACTTCCATGCTTTAGTAAATGGGGAGAGGAACATTCTTCTCCATGTGAGAAAGGGACGGAGGGGCAAGGGGTAGCAGTACAGTGAAGGGGCTTTATGCAAAGGGTGACGAGGCCCCTCCTAGGGAGCACCTCCACCCAGTCTTCCGTGAAGCACACTGAACACACATTGCTGTGAGGAGCGTGCCATTGTTGAGTTCCAAAGAGGCATTGGTTTCAAGTTGGGGTTCGTGGATCTGTGGGATAAGGAAGCCAGGAGGCCAGGAGACAGAGAACCTGTTGGAAATGGGCATGTCTTTCGGAAAAGAAACTTTGAACTTCCAGAGGCCATGGAACTGGGAGGTTCGAGGTCATTGGACTTGGATCCCCAAGGCAGGGTGTCTTCCCACTGACTTCTGAGTGACCTTATACAAGGAATGATTCCTCTTCTGATCTTGATGTAGAAAATGAATGTTCACGTAATGCTGGAAGTGAGAAAACCTCCCTAGCAAGGAGCTTCCGGTTGGTACACCTGAAGATGCAAACCAGGATGTGAGGGCTGGGTCCCCAACTGGATTGACCCAGTGGGTAATGGTGAATAAGTGTGAGGGTGGCCTTGAAATGAGGAAGGGCGAAGGAGGTCAGAGCAGCCCAGTGCCCTGGGCTGGGAGACTGCTGGGCCCTTGGCAGGTGAGGGCAGAGGTGGGATGGAACAGGAAAGCTGGTCCTGCACCACAGTCTGGTGGCCTGACCTGGGATGTGAGCTGCTGCCCCTGAGGCTTTGGGTGAACCTGCAGGATGAGAGCATCCGCCGTGCAGTTCACGGACATCATGCTGGACGGCGTCTGTCATCACTACCCGCAAACTTGGGTTTCTCCTTCCTCTGTCTCTGAGCTGACTCAGAACTTGTTTCACTTCCAGGTGGCAAAACAGGGCAGGCCCCTGGCTCCCGCGCACCTTCTCCCCGGCTTCCCACGAAAACTCTCAGCGGCCCATTTAACCCTCCTGCATCTCCCAGGCTAGGCAATGCCTCCGAGGCTCATGGCACCTCCAGGACAGTCCCTCCTCGCCCCAGCATGCCTGCCCCACCGCCTCCCACCCCGCCCCCACCTCCTCCACCCCTACCCCCACCTCTGCCCCCTTCCTCCCCCACCAAAGCTCCGCTGGTGTCCCCACCTGGCCCGCCCACCAAAGGGAACCCCCCAGGGGTTGCACCCCCTCTCCTCTCTGCACCGCCCCCTCCCCCTCTGCCCCCACCCCTTCCTGCAACACCACCCCCACCCACCCTGGCCTCTGTTCTCAGTGACAAGGCCATGAAGCCTCAGCTGGCCCCCTTGCACCTGCCACCCATCCCACCCCCACTCCCTCTCCTCCCACCTTGTGGGTATCCTGGGCTCACTGCCCAAGATGTTCGGGAGCCTCCCGCCCCACCCCCTCCACCACCCCCACCCCCTCTTTATGCCTCCTGTACCCCGAGGTCCTCTGTGCCTGTGCCTCCTTTGCCAGGAGCTAACAACAACAGCGAAGCCCCACTCCTGCTGCCCCCCAAGTCTCCCAGCTTCCAGGCCCAGCCACCCAAGTCCAGCACGCAGGCCTTGCCGGCACCACCAGCCCCTCCAGGATCCCAGCCATTCCTGCAGAAGAAGAGGCCCGGCCGAGGCCCAGGTAAGCACCAGTCTTCTCGTCCAGGGTGGCCGCATCCGAGGATCACTCAGCCCTCACCAGTAATTATGAAGGTGCTAGGGATACAGCCAGAGGCCTGCTCCTAGAGCAGAGCCACTTGGGAACACCTTGAGATGTCTTAACTCTTGGATTTTGTTTTAGAACAGAGCTATCAGTGCCCCTCATGGAGCCCAGTAAAACTTGTTGTATGGGACTTCATGCTGTATTCGTGTTAGAGACAGGAAACCAAGGGGCAGGGAGGCTGAAAGACTTGTCCAAGATCATACAGACCACAGGCCAGGCATTCTGGCTTTGATCACCTTGCAATTACTAGCTCTGTGACCCTGGGCAATCACTTAGCCTCTCTGTGCTTACTTCTCCTCATCTGTAAAATGGGGACAGCAATATTTCCCACCTCTTTTTTTTCTTTTTTTTTTTTTTAAAGATTTTATTTATTTATTTGAGAGAGAGAGCACGAGAGGGAAGATGGTCAGAGGGAGAATCAGACTCCCTGCTGAGCAGGGAGCCCGATGTGGGACTCGATCCCAGGACTCCAGGATCATGACCTGAGCCGAAGGCAGTCGCTTAACCAACTGAGCCACCCAGGCGCCCTATTTCCCACCTCTTGTGATTGCTGGAGCAGGGCCTGGCAGCACTGAGCTCTAGAGAAGAGTTATTCATTCTGACTCTCGTCATTCATCCACCCGAATCTCCTGTCTACAGTGGAGGGGGCTGTGGATGCAGTTTGTTTCCAGAACCAGGTGTCTAGTGTAATTTTTGCCTGAGTTACTACAGCCTGGCTCCCAGCCACAGTCTGCACTGGCCCTAGGCAGATTACAGTAGCCTTCTGTCTTCTTTTTGGCACGTTCTCGTGCTGACTCAAGAAAATTAAGGATCTGTATTTCGAGCCAAATATTAAGAGTAATTCCTTCACATACCTAGCCGAGAGGATTTTGGATTGAGCATGCATGCCCATAACTGATTTCCACATAACAGGGAAGCTTCGTTCACCTCTGGTGTCCTTCCAAATGGAAAGTATACGCCCATACACACATAGCCACACCCACACATCCACACGTGCCCGTAAACACCACATCCACACACACACACACCCCAACACACATCCACACTCACATGCACACATATCCCTTGGTCTTTAAGAAAATCTTTTCATGCAGAAGGTTTCCTAAATGTATTTCCTCAAATTAAAAATAGCACAAGCTCACTGTAGAGCAAATAGAAAGAAATTGACATCACCTACAGTAACATCACCCAGAAATAAAAACTGTCATATTTGGGTGTATTTCATTTTTTTTCAAAAATATCTACAGATTTACCAAGTTACTACTATTTTGGATATACAATTTTCTATGTTGTTTTAATTTAATATTACATTATAAACAGTTTTGTCAAGTTGTTAATGTTTACTCATAAGCATATTAATAGGATCATCAGCATTTACCAGATTACTAGTATTAAATTGATTCTATTTTTTGTTATTGTGACTAGTATTGCAGGAAACACTTTTGTAGCAATTGTCATCCACCTTTTGGATATTTTGAAAGGACAGGTTCCTCAAAAGGAATTCCTGGTACAAAGGGCAAAGATATTTTTAAGGCCCTTGGTCACAGGAGATAAGGTTCGAGGCATTCGCTTTTCAACAGACTGGTGGCCGTAAGGGCATTCATCCCGGGGAGCCGCCTGTGATTCTGAAGTGTTCACGGGGTGGTGAGAAAACCAGTGCCTCAGATTGGGCGGGGGGAGGCGGCGAGAAAGAGGTTGTAACAGTGGACATTTTGTGGTGGGCGGGGTGGATTTAGGCTGACTGGAGGGAGAAGGGAGGGTCTGCAAGGCAGGGAACCCGAGTAAGCAGAACCCCGGGGACGGGAGCAAGCCCCACAGCTTGTTCGCCTCGCCTCCCTCTGTGCCTCACCTACAGACAGCCCTTCCCTTTCTGCTGACTCGGCAGAGGTTCCCCTCTTTGAGCTGTGCCTTCTGATCCTGAAGGTTGCCAACATGATTCATATTGTCACAGCAGCTAACATTGACTGAACCCTACTGCATGCCACTTCACTTCACTTTACTCATTCAGCCCTCTCAACACCCCTAGGAGGTGTGTGTACTGTTTTACAGGCGAGGAAACAGAGGCACAAAGAGGTTGTCATTATCCCAGCAGGAGAGCTGGAATTCAGTCCCAAGCAGCTTAGCCCCAGAGGCAGCCCTTTTATCCACCAGATTCTATGACATCCAGAGACCGCAGTACCTCACTTCTCCCAGGAGGTATAGCATCTGCTGTTCCCCGTTCCTGTATCTGAATACACTGGCATCTTTTCTATAAGGGACCAGTGGGGGGAAGCTAAATCCACCCCCAGCACCCCCTGCGAGATCACCCACCACGGAGCTTTCAAGCAGAAGCCAACAGGCCCTAGCCTGGACCCCGACACAGCAGCCTGGAGGTCAGCTGCGGAACGGAAGCCTGCATATCATCGGTAAGTGGGCCCACCTTGTGCTGTGCTGTGCCGGCTGCCAGTAAGGGAGTGGTTTCCCCTGGCCCTTGGAGTATGCCAGCCCACCATTTCAGGGTGCGTGCTTTACAGGAACAGGGAGCTCACTCTAGGGCAAAACATCCTACAAGTTGTGTTAAATAAGGTTTCTCTTGAGGCTTTCTGGAAGGTTCCAGGACCCGTTCTCTAACTTTCTGATTGTGATGAGAAAGACGGAAGAAAATCAACATTCAAACTGTGTATGTGTGTGTGTGTCTCTGTCCCCGTGGAGAAGTCCATGCATATTGGATTACACAATAGGAAGAATAGAGTGGTCTGGGAAAGGGGAAAGGATGAACAGAAGGCCCACCAGACAGAGGGACGGTTAGGGCAAAACTACGGAGATAGGAAGGAAAGTTCTCTGGGGTCAGACCCAAAGCAGGGACTCAGCTCATAAAGGGGCCACAAGACTCCTCTTGCAATCAGGAGCACAGGGAAAATCCTGTTTGCTTTGGGGAGCCCAGGTCCCCCACTGGACATAAGCCATGCTCCTTCCGACCAGTCAAGCTGAGGACTTTCCATCTGCTCACCCCTCCCAAGCAAAGCCCTCGCCAGGGGCTCAGGAGTAGCTACAGGCCACAGGGACTCTGCTGGTCCCTTATTGCTGTCACGTTCCCCACCTCTGACTCTGGACCCTGGATAGCTCGTGGCACTTCTCCCTTTAGAAGTTTCCCTAAGATGTTGGTCAAAGCAAGGTAGGGTGGATGATAGGGAGAGTCTGTTGATTTCACGTTTCCTGATCCCCTTGTCTGAGCTAAGCAGTAAAAATTGAGAGGTAGATGGGGGTTCTTAAGGGGAAATAGCCCAGCCATTAAAACTGGGCAGGCAAACCTGTGTGCTCTTGGAAATTTTCGAAACTTAGGTCATCACAATAACCAGAGTAATTTTGCTATTTTCCACGTGTGCAGATGACTTTGAATCTAAATTCACATTTCATACTGTGGAAGACTTTCCTCCTCCAGATGAATATAAACCATGCCAGAAGATTTACCCCAGCAAGATCCCCAGAAGTAAGTACCATCTTGGGAAGCCTCTTGGTTTTCCCTTACCCTCCAGAATTAAGTGCTTAGTGTGCATTGATTGGCTCCAGGCTGCCTAAAAGATGATGTCATGATTTCACTGTACTACTGGAAGAATACAGTGCTGTTTGTACTTCTGGAAGTGTCTGAACACTTACTTGTCCTGGCCCCAAGGATTCATTTAGAAGCTTGTTACAGAACTCCAGAGTTAATTGTTTGGCTTTGGATTTGAGTGCCTTGATTTACCACTTGTCCCTCCCCTCCTAGGGCTTTTGACAAGGGAGCTAACCACCCCAGGACAACAGCAAAATGGGATACAGGAGCTTTGTATTAATAACCAGAGAAGAATCTGAAAAACCCCAGTTCAGAACTCTGGCAGACTGTGAAGTGGAGAATGTCCTTCAGTGGTTCTCAACCTTGAATACACATTAGAATGACCAACAGAGCTTTTAAAAATCCCAAAAGCCAGGTTGCACCAAGACCCACTAAATCAAAATACGCAGGGAGGGACCCACGTGGCAGTATTTTTGAAAGCTGCCAGTTGATTCCAGTGTCCAGCCAAGTCTGAAAATCTCAGGCTGGTAAGAGCCTGACTTCTCCCAATTTCATCATGTGGCCAGCCTCCAAGTAGAGGCCTCCACTCTGCTTACCTACTTAGCCCAAGAGGCGGGCGTATCCTTCAGGGCCAAAAGGGCAGGAGGCAAGAACTTTAGGAAAACAGGAAGCAAAGAAAAGCAAGGTTGTTAACCACACAGCAAAGCTGCCTATTAGTTAAGGTGAGGCAGTTCTGGTCCAGTGCTGAAGCAATCCAGTTGGTCAGTAGCTGGTAAGCAGGGACAGAGGCAACAACATGGAGTAAGGGTGTTTCCCACCCAACAACAGGAGTCAGACCCCCAATCCCAGACATCTGTGAACTAGCATGGAAAATTGTCCATGTCCTGGGATAGCCCAAGAACATGAACTGGGCTCTTTGACCCTTTCCCTTCAGAAGGACTTTCGCAAAGTCCCTCCTCCAGGGTTCAGCTTCCTGCAGGCAGACCAGGGAGCTTGAGCCTTCTCCCTGCTCAGCTCACAGGTCCTCTTGGAATCAGCCTGGGCAGGTCTTTTTCTGCTGGCCTGTGGGATTGCACATTTAGCGAGAAGTGACCTTGTGTGCTTTTTAAATAATATGTAAAGACTACTGCTCTGAACTAAGAGAGAGAGGAAGGAGAGAGGAGCAGCATGAGATGGAGGGCCAAAGATGGAGTCAGTCTCGTCAGCACTTCTGCGAGGCTCATTTCCTTTCCCTAAGCAGGTGTTTGTTAATTGGCCACGTTCATGCCACAAATCCCACCGTTCTCTGTTACACCCAGACTGTAACAGGTGAATGTAACACCTGGCCCCTGGAGGCTTTTCAGTTACTGACTCCTACCCTAAATCAGAGGTCAGCAAACATTTTCTCTATAGGGCCAGAAAGGACGTATTTGAGGCTCTGTGGGCCATTCAGTCTCGGTCATAACTACTCAGTTGTGCTGTTTTGACAGGAAAGGAGCCATAGACAATACATAAATGAATGGGCATGGCTGTCTTCCAATAAAACTTTATTTACAGAAAACAGGTGCCGGCTGGATTTGGTCTGCCGGCCATATTTTGCTGATCTCAACACTAAACCGTTCCAGAAAAGCAGATTCTTCAAAATCTCACTTCTGTCTCAGTAGTGTGCTGTGCAGTCCTTCAACCTTCAGACTCGGTAAATTCTAAAGTTCACTGCATTTTGAGCCCATGGTGCCCAGTCTCCTCCCTGAGAACGTAAGAGAGGCCATGCCTCGCACAGCTCGCCAGGAGAGCGCAGCTGACAGTCTGTGCTGTATTCCTCTCATCTCAGAGAAGTAGTCAAATCAGTGCCCATACACACAAAACTAATCTGATGCTCGGGAAGATGCAGTTTAAAAAAAAAAAAAAGAAGAAGAAGGGGCGCCTGGGTGGCTCAGTCGTTAAGCGTCTGCCTTTGGCTCAGGCCATGATCCCAGGCTCCTGGGATGGAGCCCCGCGTCGGGCTCCCTGCTCCACGGGAAGCCTGCTTCTCCCTCTCCCACTCCCCCTGCTTGTGTTCCCTCTCTCGCTGTGTCTCTCTCTGTCAAATAAATAAATAAAGTCTTTAAAAAAAAAGAAAAGAAAAAGAAAACCTAAACGAACTGACATCCTACCGACCAGAAAGGGTATTTGCAATTTCAAAACTAAAATGTGGTTTTAGATTGATGCGGCACTGGAGGGCATAAAATCCTCCTGTGGCTTCCGAGCACAATTACATTAGCATGTTCCTGCCGTCCCTGTGAGCCATAGGGTAGAACCTTGGTAATTCTATTAGTGTGAGGCTGATACAGTTCATGCCTGTCTGATTACATTTCTTCTTACAGTTTTCCTCCTGCTCCCCATTGACCTGGCTCTCCGAGACTGGAGGTCTTCATGGTCTGGTTCTGTCAGATGAGTGTGTTCTCACGCTGTCTTGTCACAGTTCTGCCTTTGTCTCCTCCCACTTGCTCGCTTTCTCTCTCTGCTCCTGACACAACACACAGCACAAACTCTAAATGCGTAGCTTTTCCCCTTGTCCTCCTCACTGTCTCCACCCTGCACGTACTAGCTGTTTTCTTTCCTTGATAGGATGATTTTACCTAATTTTTTTAATGTTTTAAATATGCGTTATGTTCCTCAATAAGTCAATTGTAGAATTACCGAAGGATCCAGCAATTCCGCTCCTGGGTATACACTCAAAAGAATTCAAAACGGGGGTTCAAACAAGAGCTCATGCATAAATATTCGCAGTAGCCGGAAGGTAGACATATCCAGTGTCCATCCACTGATGCATGGATAAACAAAACGTATAGCCATGCGGTGGAATATTCTTTGACAAGAAAAGGGAATGAAGCACTGATATATGCTACAACGTGGATGAACCTTGGAAACATCAAGATGTGTGACAGAATGCAGACACAGAAGGCCACATGTATGATTCCATTTACATGACGTAGCCGAAACAGGCAAACCCTTAGAGGCAGAAAGAAGATTTAGCAGCTGCCAGGGGCTGGGGGTGTAAAGAATGAGGAGCGGCTCCTAATGGGTATGGGTTTCTTCTTGCGGTGATGAGTATGTTCTGAAATTAGACAGAGGTGATGGCTGCACAACACTGTGAATGTATTCAGGGTTACTGGTGGTAAATTTTATGTTGTGTGCATTGTGCTGCAATAAAGTAGGAAAAAAACACCCTATCAGTAGGAATCTTTGGGAATAATTGCATAGGTTGCAAATATTTATTAACATAGTGATGATAGAAAGAGTGAAGTTATCATCATATTGACAGATACTTACTGAGGCCCTTACCCACTGGAGAGATTTAGATAAATGATGCCCTGACACACCCTCAAGAAATTCACCTTTTGGGGGAGAAAGGGAGGAGAGACAGACATCCAAACTTAACATTTCAGTCTGGTGTTCCCAGCAAAACCTGATCCTGATCACAGTCAGTTCAGTGGGAAAGTGGCTGGTTAGAAATCTGTTTACATCCCAACTCCTTTAAAAATAGAGTTTTAATTGTGGTTTAAAAATGCATAACGTGAAATTTTCCATCTTAACCATGTTTAAGTGTACAGTTCGGTAGTGTTAAGTACATTCACACTGTTGTGCAGCCCGTCTGCAGAACTCCTTTTATCCTGCAGAACTGAAGCTCTGTACCCATTAAACCCGTGAAATAGCAACCACCATTCTACTTCCTGGCTCTAAGAGTTTGACTACTCTTGGTACCTCATATAAGTGGAATCATATAATATTTGACTTTTTGGGACTGGCTTTCATTTGGCCTAATGTCCTCAAGGTTATCCACTTTGTAGCATCTGTCAGAATTTCCTTCCTTTCTAGGGCTGAGTAATATTCCCTTGTATGTATGTATGACATTGTGCTTATCCGTTCGTCCATCAGTGGACCGCTGGCTTGCTTCCACCTTTGGCTATGGTGACTAAGGCTGCTATGAACATGGGTGCGCAAGTATCTCTTTGAGTCCCTGCTTTCGGTTCTGTTGGGTATATACCCAGACATGGAATTGCTGGATCATACGGTAATTTGATTTCTAATTATTTGAGGAACCACCATACTGTTTTCCATTTTACACTCCCACCGTTTGACATTCCCATCAGCAGCACACAAGGGTTTCGTCACATCATCACTAACACTTGTTGTTCTCTGTTTTTTGTTTTGTTTTTAAAGATTTTATTTATTTATTTGAGAGAATAATAATATTTATTTCAGAGAGACACAGCGAGAGAGGGAACACAAGCAGGGGGAGTGGGAGAGGGACAAGCAGGCTTTCTGCCAAGCAGGGAGCCTGATGCAGGGCTCGATCCCAGGACCCTGGGATCATGACCTGAGCCGAAGGCAGACGTTTAACCAACTGAACCACCCAGGCGCCCCTGTTCTCTGGTTTTTTGATAGTAACCATCCTAATAGGTGTGCAGTGATAGCTTGTTGTAGTCCAATTCCTATTTTAAAATAATTACTTTGCACTTATGGCAAAACTAGCCACCATTGTTTCCACTAGAGAAGAAACTTCTCCAGCAAGGGCTGCAGTCACTTTAACAGTACCGGATGGTTCAGGTCATGAAATTAAAGGATGAGCTATCCCAAGACCGAGAGAATCCGTAGACACTGCCAGTGGCCAAGCATTTATCTCTGCCTTTGTGGAGGGCAGTAGGGCAGGAAGGACCTCTGCCCTGTGCTTACCTTAGCCGTTCTCCTTCATAAGCTGTCTTCCAGCATCCCACTCTCTTACTGTTACTCCTGTCCTTCCAGATTATTCCTTTATTCCTCTGAGCCAGCAAAAGTGTTGTCATGTCTATAAAACATCTCCCTTGACCTACTCTGGCCCCTGGGCCATTTCTCTGCTCCTCTCACAGCCAGTGCTGTGTCTACTTCCTCTCTTCCTGTCCTCTCCGACATTTCCCCCCCCAGCATGCCATCGAAAG